TCTTTCGCAAGGAATCGTTTTCCAGATTTTAATACCGATCGTTTCATTAATCTCTATATTCCTATAGTGATAAAAGTACCACCGTGTCCCACAGTTTTTTTTTTTTCTCAGTATTCAACTTACTCGTGCGGCAGTTACGCCAACGAGAAATATGAAACAAAACCATCTAATCTGTTCCCTGTGTACCGCTTGAATATTGGAATAGATTGCTCGGCTAGGTAGCGAAATGGCGGTATAATATCGTTCGTATTGTTCGAACGAGGCACGAACAACCGACCTGTCGACGATGAACAGAAGAGATACACCCATGGAATTATTATGTTTCAGCTCTACCCGAAGGCACGCCCATTATCGCATCGGAACGCGAACGTTACGATGCCGGAGACACTTTGAGGGCAAATTGTAGCTTACGACCGTCGAAGCCACCGGCTCATCTCTCATTCACCCTGAACAACGCGGCGGTAAGTGATACCTATAATCCACGCGTCATTATCGAATCCAGCAGTTAAGGGAAGCCCGTGAAATTAATGGTTTAAGAGCGTATCTATGCAACCTGCTACAATGTTTAATATCATCGATACCGGCATCTCGAACGTATTGTTTTTGGCTGCGGGAGTATAGTACTCGGCTTATAAATGGAAGTACATCGATTCGAAATACTATAATAGATGTAGAGAGATTGATCGAATTCCTCGTTTATTTTTCATTTTTTATCAATCGATTTCAGTTGTTCGTGAAAGTCCGTAAATTTAATCATTTACATGCACAGAGTGCTCGAAGTGGTAAAACACGTATCTTTCTCTCTTATAGCAACATCTTTTATGGAGATCCCATGCGAAAATTAATCCCTAATTTGTTCGAAATTCCCTCAATCTGATTGCAATTTTCTATCGAAGAAAATCTATCAAAAAGGACGGTGATACGTCTGATTGGAAATATTGAAACTCTACGTTTGAAATGCGTGAAAACTATTAATTCCACAGCGCAATCTACAACGTTTGTGATTCGGAGACAAGACGAGATTGTACAAAGTTTCACGAAATTCGAAAAAACTTCGTTTTTTTCTTTTTTCTTTTTGTTTTTCCGCAAAATGCTCATTTTTTTCGAGCTACAAATAGATGGCACAGCTTACATTACTAATGCATTATTCGAGATGTGAAAATTCCATTAACACGCATTATAACCGAGGCTACTTTATATTCAAAATTGTAGCTGTTGAAGTGTCCAGAGAAATCGATACGTGAAAAGTACGGACCGTACGTCCCGAAGCGATCTCGAAATTTCACAAAGTAAAATCTCTCCGCGCCCGTCCGCCTACCGCCTCGTACCTTCCCCTCTTTGCCGAAGAACTTTTTCCTTAAACGCTTTTCCGTGTCATCGAAAATAATTTTCAACGCTGACGTCAGACACTCGTCTGTATCTGTACGTGTACACGGCTAAAATAATTGCACGATATACGAA